AGAACGGCATTAAAATATGGCATACAAGAGGTATGAATGCTACTTGTTCAACACTAAACCAAACGCCCAGAAAACCCTACACTTGGTTGTTTTTCTCAATGTTAGTAGGGTCTAAGGTCGCAAGACGTTGCGTGCAACTTTGGTAATACGCAAGATTTGGGTCACAATAGAGGTATCACGAATATGATCGCGGTATGATTATGAACTCTGCATGCATAATGCGATATTTTGTACATTAGTACACTACTAAAGTAACAATTAGAAGGGAACAATAACCTTAATGTTTATAGCTTTTGTTGCCATAAACCTCGTCTCAAACTAATAAGAAAAAATAAAAATAAGAAACATAAAAGTAGAGTCCTTATTTATTAATAATATTTAACATTGTGATAAACTAACGCCCGTATTCACAAACATTACTATGGGGTCTCACAGTGCGCGTGGACGCACAGGGTGACACACAAACCAATCACAGAGCTCTATTCAACGCTGTGCGTTTGATTTGCTGCTTCACTTAAGCAAGCATTGCTTGTGAATACGGGCGTAAGTTCCTTATTGAGATGGTGAACTCTACATTATCATCCTACATTAAATATAATAAAGTCAATGTTCTATCAATCAATTATACAAACAAGCGTTTAAAACCATCTGAATCCACAACCAATTATTTAGATCGATATAAAAACGCCAATATCATATCTTCCGAACGAAGTAAAAACTGGTTGTTATGTGGGTAGTTCTACAAATCAGGGAATTTTACGGGGCTCAACTTGCAGCTCCTTAAATTACCAATCAATAGTTTTCGTTTTAGGGTATTAATAAAGTTTAACTCACATAGTACTTGGTCACTGAATTTCAACACGTTTTAATAAAAACATCCCAGACAAAAGTGGCTTCAAATGGGAAAAATTATCATTTCCCTGTGGGGTGACATTCCAGAATTCATGATGTAAATCACAATAAAAAATATATGAAAATGTAATTAGTCAAAAATAACATTGTATTGAAAGTAACCATTAGTGTATCTTTCATTTAACCTACATGGATTATGTTTGAATTCCCTATTTACATAATTTTTTGATTGCTGAACAAAGGTGACACGAATTAAGTATCACTTCCCTGCCACCTATAAACACGTTAAAATCTGTAACAAAACAAAGGGTAAGCCACGTTGTCGTTCTTATGTATTTAAGTATGCAGTTAAGTTCGCCTAGTGAAACGTTTATTTCGCCCAAATCGTCAGTCAGTTAGACGCAGCTACNTATATGCGAAGCTCTACACTCAGGAACTGTCTTATCCTATAAAGAACCTTCAACCTATAGTAGCAGCTTCTTACGGTTTCTCGTATGTGATTTTCAAATTTCAGGCTCCCATCCATAAGTACGCCAAGGTTACGCGCCTCATCCACTCGTTCCACACACACACCCCCGATCCTCACCCCCGGGCCTGCAACACCAGTATTTTGATTCATCAGACTTGGTTGACCTTACGAGTGTACTGGGACTGAATGAACATTGATGATCCTGATGGATTGCTGAAGATACCGAAAATAGATACTAACGAATTGTTTCCCGTCGAGGAAAGAAGAGGAAGATAATAGAAGGAGATACGAATAGTAGGGAAAAGTCAAAGAGATCAGGTGACGGAAAAAGAAGCAACCTAAATGAGTTCCATGTTCAATTGGTAGTGGACCTTTATGATGCACATAAAAGTATTTTTTATTATTTTTAGAATAAAGACTATAAACTCAAATGCATCTTTCAGTTAAATTTTCACTATCCTGTATATGTTCTCACTTCCCTGTCCATCGAAAATAGAAAAATCGCTATAAAATCAATATTTATCATAATTTTGTCTGGCCCGTTAAAAATTGGATATGTTGTAGTATATTCTCGGTCTTTAGCCACTGTTTATACTGATTACTAACAAAAACTGGAGATTCATTTTATGGTCCTAAATAATTCCACTGTGAGTAGAACTACCCATGTAAGATTATGTCACTATCTTTTAGAGCATGGGCATAGCCCACATAGTTTTGGTTTTGGTGGACAGGTTGTCACGTATTATGATGTATCGAATTATTAAGTAAGGCATGAAAAAGGTTTTTTTTCTTTTTTATTATAATAAAGGTCGAACTTTGACCTAAGGCGTACAAATAACTACCTAGTACATAGTACCTACGTAGGCTCATTCATATGCAAGGACAAACTACGGGAGGTAGCCATAAAAGCAAATATTTTTTAATATCTTGATAAGTAAGGCTAGGTTTAGAGTTTACGATATGTTTATTTAGGTAGCAATAAAATTGATAGTGTTTGTTGTTTACATAATAATTCTCACCAAATCGACATTGCTGGGAATTAAATGTATCTCTCGATAAGATAATTATAATTTATCGTCATGCATGCGGATCCTGTAATTATGTAAGTTCTGATTTGGAGGTACTGAGTGGTGGTACTGATATGTAAGTAGTTTTTGTTTATAGCTCTATTGGGCAAATTTTCTGACTCTGACTTTTCCTTCAGTATAAAGTTTAGTTAAGTTTATTTTGCACAATGCCTACAGACGACCGACACAAATTAAGCACAGTATTACAATATTGTAACTGTAACTTTGGCATCAATTTATGATCTCCGTAACGGACGGGACTATTCCCACCTCTCGTTCCCACCACTGCAACTCCTGTGTAGCCAGGATCTACAGCTTGACCGCCATAAAAACCCAACCAATGAAGGTCAAGTTTGTCCCGGGGGAAAGTTCTGTCATTGGACCCGCAACGAAATTAATCAGAAGAACATAGGAGGAATTAAGGTTCAACTTCCCTCCATTACAAAGCGGATGACAGGTGATAAACAAAGGTTTAAAACTTTTAAGAAAATATTATGCACCACGGACAATAAATATCAATTAAGGGGGCCTATCTTATCAGCAATTAGCAACTATCTGCCAATAATATTTTTCACAAAATCGCTTAAAAGCACGGAAATTTTTCCTTGTCGCGACAAGATCGGTGTAATAAATTACACGTAACGGACGACAGCATATCAGATTCATCGTCTTTGCTTCTAACTTCTGCGAGTGAACGCCTCGGATGATACTCGTGAGTGATTGCGAATGTCAACGCAAGGCGCTTGCGCAAGTCGGGACGCAACGGTCTCTGCGTGCGCGTGCGGCAATTGTTTAGCCTGGCTGTTAGTGTTACACTCTGACACTTGATGAAATAAGCAAGCATCGTGGTAGACCTAACAAAAGAATTATAGGTACTTACACCACGTAATTCTATTACTTGTGGTATAATTACAGGATACACTTGATTCTGATCAATTTCAAGTTAGCAGATCCTAATCGGGTGGTTCTGAAAGATAACGAAAATATTTATTCAAAATAATTCATGAATACTGAGTACTTAATGGTTGTATGATAGTCCGTACAAACAGCTAACCATTTAGACTATTGTATTTATTTTGTAATACACAATGATGTTGGTATGTAAGTAATCATTATAATCACCTAATTTAATAACAAATGGACTATATTATTGTATGGAAACTTTGTCCTATCTTTTCATCGCATTGCTTACGTTTGTTTGATATAATGATACTTAGGCAGATAAAATTTGGATTATTTAGATTTGTGTCTGTCTGTCATGCTGGATTTCATGCTGGATTTTCTTAAATTTTTCCAACAGACCAATAACAGTTTCTTTCTCAGAGCAATTTTTAGCCTTCATGGTTGACCTTTTTGGTCAAGCTGTGTGAGTTGGAAATGAAAAAAATAAAATGAATAGGATTGTAAGCTAATTTTATCTACATTTAGATTAGGTGATAACTCTACTATGTGTGATACTTTTGGTTAGAAAATAATGACTAGGTAAGTACGCTGTGGTGTAAAGACATAGTAATTATTATGCAAGCTTATGTCAAGTTTTAAAGTCATCAATATTAGCGGAATCACTTTGGGGTACTAACGACAGACCTTGAGTTACATTAGACGAATAACGAACTAACTTATGGTAGGCAAATGAAGGTAGGTGGACATTGAACCTGCTAATGATGGCACAGCAAGCTTTCCATTGAATATTTGTGGAAAACTTACCTAAGTAGATATATTTATACTTATATTTCACTTTTTTCGAAATAACCTAGCTAGGTCTATAGAACTACAATTAGGTACACTTATATGAATTTATGGTTATAATAAACAAATAAATATTAATTTATTTAAGTTAAAGTTTAAGTATAATTTCCTAAATAAATAAAATAATACCTGCGTTATAGAGAGATTCTAAGTCATTTACCTAATACTGTGTTGTTCAATAAAAAATTGGATTAAAATAAATTATTCAACTATAAGTTATTTTTGCTCCGTGGTATAATGTGTAGGTATCATTATCTAACTAAGTAAATTAAAGAATTTGAATAAACCTTTTGCAAAATAATCTAAAATTATCTAATTAACACAGATAAATTAGGTAACTAATTCTCAAACGTAATAAGATAACTACTATAAATCCTGATTATGACATTCCATATTAATGTTATCTAAAAATCGAAATTATTGATCAAAACAACTTTTATCTCGAGGTAGGTAGATAACTTCTTTACCTACCTATTAAAATTAAAGAAATGACCCTAAGTTTATAAGATACTTCTCACATTTGAATAAAAATAGAGTTCATAAATAAAAATATTATTCGTCAATAAATATCCTATTTTTTTAGCATATTCCATAAGCTGAATATTAGTTTAGCTCTTTGTCATTTGATAATTATGAAATGCAAAAGAGTAAAAAACATATTTTTTTTTACCTCGTCTTTGTTTCAAAATTTTTTCAACAATTTCGAAAAGAAAACCGTTGTTGTCATTCAACAAAAACATTTGAGAACACAACGCCATTTCCATGAATTTTTTTTTATATTTTTGTTCATAATATTTATTTGATAAGTACAAACAATTAAAAAAAAACTTTTAAACTATAAAAATATTTAAAAAATCACTTACCAATTTTAACAAAACTATTTGTTTTTTTTTTGCAATCCAATGTAATAACCCGAGTTTTATTTTCCCGCGTTACCGCGAAACCGCGAACGTTAAAACTTTTTCGTAAGTCGAACAAGGCCGAATGGACACTGGCAGCCGGGTCGCGGCCTAGCGACTTTGTGGCATGGCGGGCGAGCGCGGCGGAAGCGTGGCTAGACCCGGTGTGGGGTGCCGATTGTATCAGATAATCTCACCGTGGGAGACAGAAACAGCACAGGAACGCGTGTCTCCATTCACCGGTGCCAAGAAAACCACACTCAGCCTTCAAAACGGCTAGAAAGTCACAGCAATTTATGCCAAACATGATTGATGACAATACTCAGGTGCATAAAATGCAAAAAGCGCAGGCTTTCTTATCCGATAGTAGAGTTTCCCTTTGTCTCATGATGGTCGGTGGGATATGGACCGGAGAGTGGGGTCCTGACTCATCAGCAAAACTGCTAGCACTCAGTAAACGTTGTTTTGCACCTAGTAGGGGTATGAAAGTAGTTTACGTCCTAATCTCAGACCTACTGATTACTTATACCCACAAAATTTCATAGAGTCGGTCAAACCGTTTTGGACTAGTTGTAATGCCACCTGCAGGGAAAGTACTCATTTTAAATTATTTTAATTATTTACAAGAAATCAGTATGGTGGTGAATTTTCAGAAATTTTCGGAAATCTTTAAATACATATTGAGTAAAATTTTCTTCTACAGTATTATGAGTTATCTACTTTCCCTTTTCAGGTGGCGTGGCTTTACAAAATTCCACCCTCTATATTATGTAGAGAGATATTAAAGGTTAACAGCGTTTTATAGTAAGTACTACCTAATCTTCGTGATCTAGTATCTCTTTAATTCATCTAGATAGGTTCTTCATACATTCGATTTAAATCCTAGTTGGAGATAATAATTTAGTCTTATTAACTTATGTTGACCTATTGTTGAGTAGGTAGGTATGCCAAATTGCTGAATCGTGTTATCGCGTTTAATAAATTGGAGTAAAAAAGAAAGTGTTAAGTCCTTGCCCTAACCATAAAGAAAGATAGCAGATAAAGCTTTCCTTGAAAATAATTAGAGGGTCGTCCTTGTAAGAGTCTGACACCGGTGCCCTTGATAATTGCGGTCAAGATGTTAATAAACCTAATTTCTCGTAGCCACATTCGTAACCTACTTCCATAATTAGAATAGCACCATGTCGCTTAGTGGCGTGAGGTTCAATGAATCCAATCTAATTTACTGCCTTTAAGTTTGAATGCTGTTTCTATAGCAACTCCTGAACCAATTGTTAAATTTGTTTTGTATGGACTATCGTGTGCAACTGGCCGTGTCACCATCATGTCACGCTACTATTCCATTATAGTCCTTTCACACATTTTGGGTCAAAGTTCAATAATTTTAAGTTAATCACTACATGTTAAATCAATTTACCTACATTTTATTATTTTTGCTTTATGTCAATTTGTATCATTCTATTTTTAGTACCAAATTAATATTTTTTCTTTCTTTCTTTCTTACACATAAAATACCTACTACAAATACCTACTTACAATCAAATCAGTTTAAAAATGAAGTGGAAAAGAGTTTCTATGACTTTAAAATACGGAAGATTAATTAATTACAAAAAATAATTCAGTAAATTAAATATTATTTTTTATAGAGTTACAATAACTCTAATCCGCTTGATACGTCATCAAACAAATGATATGAAATACCTAAAGTAAGGTACTTAGTATGATAATCAAGTGCAAATAATCCGTAAATGCGATAATAACAATGAATCAATCAATTGAGATTTGCAAAAACTTTAGGTGCCTAATCCTATAACATATTTATGCAGGTTTAGGTATCCAACTTATCAGGAACTAACGTGAGCGAGTACCCCCCTCGTTCTATACATACTGACTGACTAATCATTAGGTATATATCCTATTTTTTGTAAAGATTAATCCTCCAGATAAGCTATACCTAAGTAGTAACTTATTTAATGTCTGTGTTAGGAGCGGGGACCTACTGAGTACCTACACCACAATAATTAGTTGGCGCACTACGAGATTCGAACTACCAATCGACTGACTCTCGAATCAGCGCTCGATTGACCATTTTAAAACCTAGTAAGTCCATGCACTTACTAGTTACTAGGTTTTAAAATTGCCATTGTCACTTGGTAGATTTTGATTTCAACTGGAATTAAGTATACCTACCTACTAGGTTTTAACAACGCGTTTTTCCGGTGTTATGTGTGATAGAGCGATTCCTCTCTTTACATCCTGTGGAGACCTTAATTCTAAGGTGATTTATGACAAAAAACAAAACTCTGCAAAAGTGTCCCATACTTACTAGGTTTTAAGATGGACCAGCCGTATATTGTTAATATATTACTTACTTTACAAACTCCACCTCCCTCGTCGAAATCAAATCGTTTTTGAACCCGTCCGCCGCGCCGCCGCTTTGAAAATCTGATAGCACAAATTCGTAATAAGATGTCATTGCTCAAACAGAAACGACGGGCACCAAAATATTCGATTACGCACATTACATTCCAGCAACCGTTAAATAAAACTAGAAGGCTGAATTTTCATTAGCTATGCAGGAATTGTAAAGACACGGTATATTTAAAATTTCATTCAATTTGAACCAGTAGTTTAAGAATTATAACGGGTCAAAGTTACTTAATTTTGTCACTCACTGACTCACTGACTGACTCACTGACTGACTCACCGATCATCAAAACTCTAAGGCACTTCTAGCAGACCTAGAAGCTTCAAATTTGGAATATAAGTAGTGTTTGGTGTATGAATCAAGGAAAAACTAAAATATTTGGGGGCACGGTAGTGCAACCGCCAAGTCGAGTAAAATTTTTCATTTTCGGTCCAGTTTTCTAGATACATAACTGCTGTCTACAAAATACAAAAAGAAATGAGATCCCATCAAAAACAATACTTGTCAAAAAAACCAAGTCTCGCAACTCAGTTGTTCTACGGTAAAAAGTTGTGAGATCCATGTAATACCAAGTCCAGGCCAGGAAATCTTTAACGTTTTACATAAAATATTGACTTGGCCATCGCATGAAAACACGTGTAAATTAAATTATTTAGTGCGATGGCCAAGTCAATATATTTATGTAAAACGTGAAAGATTTCCTGGCCTGGACTTGGTGTTACATGGATCTCACAACTTTTTACCGTAGAACAACTGAGTTGCGAGACTTGGTTTTTTTGACAAGTATTTTTTTTGATGGGATATTACTTACTTTACAAACTCCACCTCCCTCGTCGAAATCAAATCGTTTTTGAACCCGTCCGCCGCGCCGCCGCTTTGAAAATCTGATAGCACAAATTCGTAATAAGATGTCATTGCTCAAACAGAAACGACGGGCACCAAAATATTCGATTACGCACATTACATTCCAGCAACCGTTAAATTAGAGACGAAGAAATATCAAGCATTGGACCTGAGGTAGGTAATACTGTTCTACTGTGATACAAATTTTTGAAACATTTTACAAGCCATCGCCCGATGAAAACCGATGAACAAGTGTTACTACCTAGCTCGTGGACTACAACAAAGTAAAAAGTTGTTATTACTGTTACAGTCAAAACTCATAATCATTTCAAGTGGGTGATAGAGAATCAACTATCAACTTCTGTTTTTGGGCATATTGCTGCGACACTGGCCCCGCCCCCTTTTCACATCTCCTTTTAGTTTCTGTGATCTGTGTTTGGCATCCTGCTTATTCGAATGAGTTTTTGTATTCGTGTGATAGAGAAACAAAGAATTGGATATTTATATTGTACAGTATAATTTGTCATAGTTTTAGCCCGTTGGGCTCTACGTCTACGGTTTCGTTTTATTTACAGCGTTGAAAGATAGTCAAGTTCGAAGACGATGAGGACTATCCCTTCGGAGGAGATGATATAGAAGTTGAGTATCTTCCACGCAGAACCAGAGCTGGCGAAATTGACAGCGACAGCAGAATCAGAGCCTGCGAACCCAACACCAGTCTCGCGACGTGGTCGATGAGAAAGAAGACTTTAATTGTAACTTTTATAAAGCTGAAAGCTATTTTTGTTGATCTCAGCTAGAATTAAGTAATACTAAATTTTTATAAGATTTTGAAGACTGTTCGATTTGCTGTAGATTATAACATTGTGACAGCCCAATGTGCTAAATAAAGAACAAAAGTTAATGGTGTTTTTTCTTTTTGTCTGACAAGCTTAAATCAATGTTATAACACTCCTAAAATATGACAGCTGTTTAAGTTGCGGTTAACCAGATACGAAACATTTTTGGTCTAGGCGTTCAGTACTTTATTAAATTAATTATGCCGTTCTAATATTAGGACATTGGGATTACCCTCGGAAGTACCATCTTCGAAACTGGGTCGTAGGAGGCTTTATAATTAAGCACCTCCAAACGAATTCTTTTTCCAAAGGTTAACTGGCAGAGAATGCCTTAAAGCATTATATTCGACTTTGCCCTGTATACAAATTAGGTGGCATTAAAGTTTAAATAAATAAATAATAGTACAAGTTTTACAAAACAATAAAACTTGTATTATTGAGCAGAGACGATGCACAGCATCTGGTGAGAGATGCGTCTACTTCCGGTGTAGTTTTTTAGCATTTTATACCTTAACTGACGTCATTTCCGCAATTATTTAATAGGAATTGATTTGACTTACTTCCGTTTGCCGCCATTTTAGTCACCTGGGGGCGAGCTTGCTCGGAGTTCTTCATAGAGAGCTCACCAGGAGGCCTTCTTGGGATGCTGTGCATCGTCTCTGCTCAATANCATCGTCACATGCCGAATAATGTTTAATTTTACGAAAGAACACTTTACCTGCCGATAAAGTTGCTTAATTTTTATTAGTATTTTATAATGGGTAATTACTCAATTCCAAATATGAAAGTAATAATATGAAAGGTGTATTATCCTTTCAAGGCGGAGTAGTAGATTAACTAGCTAGTTTTGATTGAAGTGCTAATGGTAAAACCAAGAAGTAGGATACAGAAGGACTCACACTGAGTGTGAGTTTACATCAAACGTCCTCACTAGTGAGCACCATAAAAAAATAATTAAATGAAAATGTTAGTTTTTGAAAGTTTCCGCTAGGGGCGCTGTACGTACAATCCGTCATACATTTAATGTTATTTTTTTCCCCGCTCACTAGTGAGGACGTTTACTTTGATGTAAACTCACACTGAGCCCTCGTTTTGCGTGAGTTAAGTAGTAGATAGTAACATGATAAAAGACTTTCAAACTTTTGAAGTTATTTATTAGAGTTCATTCAACTTAAGTATTTTCCAATTATGGCTTAATCACATCTAGTAAGTTATTGTACAAATTTAGAAATAATAATAATGATAACATATACAATAGATAACGGCAACTATGTTTATAAAACGTCGACATCAAAACAAGATGTGATTGAGCTATAACATTTATTTATCTACAATGGCAGTGCTTATTCAATATCCTCACCACTACCCAATTGATGTAACGTGATAGAAAATGAAGCATAATTATTAGACTTTTATATAATTTTATATGTACCAGTATAAACTGCTCGCTTAAACTTAAGTCAAAACTTCAACTTGTTTAATATATACAATTTATTTTTATTACCTTAGTAATAGTAACGTAAGTTCTTATATGAATTTTACTGTGACTAGTGAAGTTACTTAACTTAAGGACAATTTAATTTCGATAATTAATCATTTTTTACTTGTGTGTATGCTTCATCATTTTGCTATATTTTGCGGGATATTATCATTCATTATAATACGTAAGTTAATTAGGTAATTATTTAATTAAATATCCTTAACTTATAATTTTGTCTTAGAATAATTGCTTTGGTGTACTTAATGGACTAATATGACACAATTTTTAGCAGGTAGCTTCGTGGCCTTTAAGAACGGAGATGAGCTAGTCTTTTTAATAAAAATTAAGTAAAAATACTATGTACTTAAATGGAGAACTATTTTAGATGTGGGATCTGAAAGTTACGTTAGAAATAGTTTTTCCTGTGCGTCTGAATTAAAAAATGTTTTATAATATAAATTTTACAAGCTGGCAACGATTATGTTAAGTGTTTTTGATGCATACAGTGCATCGGGAGACAAGCTCAAGTAATCTTCCAGATTTAAGTGTAGACCGTCTGGGGCTAGCAAATTGTTGATTGTCCTCTATAGTTGTCAGCCAGAAACTGAGCTTGTTTGCAAAGTGTTGGCAAGTTCCGCCTTCGCCGTTGCACTCGATGAACGGCGTCGCACGGAAGTCCTGCAGACACGAGCCAGGACTAGCCAGAGCTTGGCCACCGCCTTGCCCACCGGCGCCAGTATGCTAAAACATAAAACATTTGTTAGTACAACCAAGCCTGTTCATCTCCGCGATTTTACATCGAAAACAAAACACGCACGATGGCCCACCTACAAGACGCAGTTTGGCGCCTCACGTCACATCATTTTACCGTACCTCTAGTACGAAAAACTTTCGAGTTCGTTTCGTTTGCGTATTCAAAGTGTCATCGAAAAATTTTGTATGAAAAATTAAACAGCGCCCCCTAGGGCGGCTATAATATAGGGGGCGCTGTTTAATTTTTCATACAAAATTTTTCGATGACACTTTGAATACGCAAACGAAACGAACTCGAAAGTTTTTCGTACTAGAGGTACCGAAGTCAGCCCTATAGCTTCGGCGCAGTGCCGATCAATGACGTTTGTTAACAAAATGGTGCTTGACTCTTGAGAGAGGCTAAATTACACCATATTGTTAATGACATTGAGCATACATTTTTTTAAATACCTTCGCGAAGTAAAACTTCTGTACGTAGTACTTATTATTATTCTGTGGTATAACGATTTGACTTTGGAATCATTAAAGAAATACTAAAAAAAATTTGACAATTACCATGACAAAACTGTATCCAATCCATAGTTCACTCCATCCTCCGGGGCACGCCGGAATGTCTAAGGTTTGACTGTGTATAGCAATGACGTTGGCGGGCACCTCACAGACTGAACATCTGGATATATATTTCGCGATTTCATTTCCTTCCACAGGCATCATGGGAATCGCTTCACCAGTAGACAACCAATAGCTTCGATCGTTTCGGCTGGCATAATTACATACATCGTTTAAGTCACAGAATAGGAACGGCATGGTGCTGAACTTTCTCACGCAAGAACCCGCATAGCCCAAATCTTGATTATGCGCTTTCTCATTACCATCAATGTAGAGTAAAGAATATCCATCCCATAATTTAACATGCCCTTGATCACACTCTGGTATTTCTGCGCTTTGGCTGTGCTTAACCAATAAAGTACCAGTTAAGTAATCTTGCGTTTGGCATGGAGCCCCAGGTGCTCCGGGGTAACCTTGTTTTCCTGTTAGTCCGATCTCACCTCGCTCGCCCATCAGCCCTTGGAGACCTTGAGGTCCAGGCGGGCCTGCTGGTCCCATAGGACCGGGATATCCGCGATCACCCTTTTCTCCAGGTATTCCATCTAAACCGGGTCCGCCCGGAGACCCATCTCGTCCAGGCAATCCGTTCAGCCCAGGTGGACCACGTGGTCCAGGTTCTCCTTTCGGGCCAAAAACTATAGAAGCAGGTTCTCCTTTTTGACCCTTATTACCCTGTTGTCCTGTAAAACCGATACGACCTGGATATCCCTGATTACCCTTTTCGCCGGGCACGCCAATTGGTCCTGGCTGTCCATCAAGACCATCTAAACCACGATCACCCTTATCACCTTTTTGACCCTGAGCACCTGGTAAACCTTGTAGACCTTGATCACCCTTTTCACCTGGCAAACCATATCCTGTAAGACCCCGTTCTCCTTTATCTCCTTTAACACCCATTATACCCTTAGGCCCAGGATAACCTGGCTGTCCATCGAATCCTGGAGGTCCTGCTAAGCCTTCTCGCCCTTGGTCACCCTTTTCACCTTGTGGTCCAGGTCGTCCATTCAAACCAGCTACACCAGTTGGTCCTGGCAGTCCAGGGAAGCCTTGGTCTCCCTTTTCTCCAGGGATACCAGGTGCGCCTGGACGTCCGTGTTTACCGTTAAGACCAGGTAATCCTTTTTCACCAACTATTGTCAATCCAGGCATACCTTCGGGTCCAGCGGGGCCTCTGTCTCCTGAAATAAGAGGCAGCATATTATTATATTTATATTAAAATTTAAACAACATAGTATCTATTGTAGCTATTTATTTTGGTGACATCAATAAATTGACGAAAGTGATGAAGTATTTATTAGCTAAATGGTTTTTACTGGGGTACCTAAATAATTTACAAAATATTTTATCGCAGCATGAGAATGAAGTGACTCATTTAATAAAATTGATGTATC